CCCGACTGTTGGATTACTTTGTGGAGGAGTTCAAACGTGGGCACGAGGGAAGGGACTTGACAACCAGCACAAAAGCCATTAGCCGTCTGAGAGAGGCATGTGAGACAGCAAAGAGGAAGCTGAGTACTGTTGACTGCACGAATGTGGAAGTCGAATCGTTGTTTGAGGGCATCGATTTCTGTGCGGACCTCACTCGAGCCAAATTGGAGTGGTTGTGCTCGGACCTCTTCCGTCGAACGATGGATGCGGTAAAGTCGGTATTGAGTGCTGCGAAGATGAAGAAGACTGACATCCACGAGATATTGTTGGTGGGTGGATCGACGCGTATTCCGAAGGTGCAGACGATGCTGCAGGACTTCTTCAATGGCAGGCAATTGAATAGGTCGGTCAACGCAGACGAGGCAGTGGCGTACGGCGCGACATTGCTGGCGGCCAAACTGACTGGCGCTATGCCGAAGTCGATGCAACAATTGAGGCTGCTGGAAGTGGCGCCAATGTCACTGCGTATGGAGTTTCCAGACGGTACTATGCAGAAGATGTTAGTGCGTAACACACAAATGCCGATGAAGCAGAAATGGGCTTGCACAGCCCCCAAAGATGATAGTGTTGATACGTTGTTCAGGATATTCGAGGGTGAATGTGAGGAGGAAGGCGACAACTACACTATAGCTGACTTTCCGTCAACGAATTTTTCAGTGGATCTACATGGTTTGATCAAGTTCCACTTGACATTTACAACTGACGAAAGTGGCATTCTCCATGTGTCAGTGGTGGAAAAGTCGTCAAGGAAGCAGAAGAGCATCACGACTATCAATTACAAAGGCGGTCTGTCGGAGGAGGAGATAGAACGAATGATGAATGATGCGGAGAAGTTCAAGCAGGTGGATGAGAAGGAGAGGAACAGGATGGCAGCGAAGAATGGATTGGTGGACTACATTTACAGCATAAAGGAGGAAATGGGGAGCGAGGAGATGAAGCAAAGGACATTGGAGGAGAATAGACAAAAAGTGATTAGGATGTGTGAGGAGATGATAAATTGGACGAACACAGAAAAGAACGCCAAAGGGAAGGACTATAAACGAATGCGGAGAACGTTGGAGGAGATGTACACCGATATTGCCATGATCAAAAGAAGTGCCGATTCTGATCGTGGAGATGTGAAAAGAGATACAAACAGCTGTGGACATCCAAACACCTGCATTTGTATCATGGAACATAACGAGAAGCAACGGATTTTAAAAATCTGCTTACTTAAATGTGAGTAATAAACCATAACCCACGGTGAATTGTTATTCGTTTTGTATTTTAACTGATAAGTGTATAGTAATTCACTAAAGCCTTTATTTAACCACTTAGCTCTTCATTGAACCATCCCCATCTTCCCTAAAGCAGCCTCTCGAGGTTCCCAAAGAAGACTACAGCAATCACTTCACTGTGAATTTCCCTATGAGCTCACAAAGAGTTTAGTAGTAGGCATTGTCATGCACTTGAAATGTGGATCACTTCATTTTAAACAGTTCCACATTCCATGAACGAATGGAGCGAGGGTCACTCGCTGACGGCACAAGATCCACACTGCTCGTCATCACAAATTTTGTGGATAGGGAGAGGAATATCTGCAATGGGGTAGGCCAAGTAGAAGTCTACACCAAACCAACCGGTTATGCATTTGCCACTGTCATCTTTTAGTGCCTCTACGAGGAAGGGCTTAATAGAATTACCGTCTTACGATGAAAACGCTGACATCAATCAAACTGTCACTCACGGCGGCATATAGTGGTGACAACTGTGTCTATGGCTACATCATTCCTTTCCAGCACGACGATAAGCAGAATGTCAATGACGTGGTCTACACACCATAGAGTGACACATAATTATTGTGAGTTGGACCCACACAAATGTATGCAATGGCAATGAACACAAGCCTTTATTTGGCAGTTTAACTTCTCATCTACAACCCAGCTTGCGCGACTGCCAAGTAGTGCGAATGAATCCTTCGGTGCAAGCAAAATTCTTCCGAATTTCTGATGCTCATGGTGGTTCTACTTCATGTTCATTTCTCAAGGATATTTCACTCCCACCATGGCTGCGCCAAGAGAGATTTGCAAA